CCAAAATGATTTCTCCACACACAGCCCCCTTTCTCCTCCACAAAACTCACATCCTCCCCACAATACTTTTGGCCGAGCAGTCTTGCTTGCACGGGCGGCTGCTGACACGTTTCCCCAGGTTTAGATAAACTGCCTGCGCAGGCGAGCAGCTCCACGGGTGAGGAGGAAAATCCCGACCCGCCGGGGTGGAAGCACCAACGCAAAGACAGGAGCTCAGTCCGGCCATGGAGCTGCTCAGCACAGGCTCTGCACCATGTGATATAAGGATCTAAGTTTGGACAGAAGTCCCACGCTGGGTGAACCTCATGGCCAATTTTAGCCGGTGAATGAGTAAGTGGAGGTTATGTTCTCGGCCGAACCCGCCAGAACCACATGGGTGACAGCAGCAGCACGCGAGTGGGGAGGGCTGCCCTCAGAGCTCAGGCATCTCCCCCAGCATTCGCTATGCCATGGGTGGCAGCGCCAGGATCCAGTCCGCACTCCTCGCAGAGGGACAGTGCCACATGTCTCCCAGTCTCCTCCCAAATCTGTTTTTGCAGTCATAAAAAATTATGGCTGGGTGCCAAGTTTCAGAGGGGGAAAAAAATGAAAAGAAAGAAGTCCAACATACAGCAATATTCAGGAGCATCCAAAAGGATTTTAGCAGCACAAATTCAAACCAGCAGCCTGCCGGGTCAGATAAATGAACGGCTGAACCCGGTGAAAACCTGGGCACTGGGTCAGGAATGCGAAGCTGAAGCAGAGACTCCTCCTGCGGCTCTGCCTGGGCAAAGGATGCCGAGAGCTCCCGCATCTCCGCAGCCTCTCCCTCCCCCTGCACAGGGAGGACAGAGGAGCAGCGCTCAGAGCCATTGCTGTCACCCGCCTTGGGCAGTCTTCCTTTCCCATGCATGACCCATCTGAATGTGGGCACACAGCGGCCGCCCAGCCCCGACACCGATGCCAGCAGTGAGCGCCCATTTTGCCGGGGAGAAACAAGGAGCAGGGGAGACATCCCGAGCACCGGTCTGCAGCAACGGGGCTCTGCACTGGCCCTCTGTTCGTGCACGGGCAGGGACAGGCAGAAGTGTGTTTGCTGGGACACGGACCATGCGCTAGCACCAAGAAGGCTGCTCGTACCCCCCCCGGCACCGCGCAATCCCTTGCCCACCCCGTCCTGGGTTGAGTGACACAGGGCTAATTTCTCTTTCAGTAATTTTATTTTCCAGTAAAGTCTCTTCTAATGCTTGGGACGACTGCACTTTTAGAAGACTCTAGCGCCTGATTTTGTGAAAATATTAACAGCCAGCTATGGTGTGTGGGTTTCAAGGTCTCAGTGTTTCCGAGCTCACCAGGTGCGGGGATGACAAGACCCGGGCACTTGACCCAAGCTGCCAACAAGGTTAGTTCATACCATGAATGGCACAGTCAACATAAATTAGAAAGTTTGCTGAGGAGTTTCTCTCTCCCTTGATGGCTGCCATCCTGAGAACTCCTTGCCCCGGTGCCAGAGCCCTGAGCCCGTCCCTTCCTCCTGAAGCCGCAGCACTCACAGTGTCCCACATGGGCTGTCACTGCTGGGGGTGCACAGCTTCTACAGATGGAATGGGCTGAGTATAGTCCTTGGGTATTTTATGTTGGTATCGGGATCAATATTGGTTCTTTAGTGTTATTAATGCTAATTATAGTCTTATTCTATTAAATCTGTTTATATCTCAACCCCCAGGTTTCCTTGTTTTTTCCCAAATCCCCTTCCTGGGTGGGGAGGGGTCACTGGCTGAGAGAATAATTGTCTAAACGACAATAAATTGTTGTGGGTTCCTCAAATCATAACACTCCCTCATCTCCATAACTTTCAGCAACATCTGCCCGGCAGGCAGCCCAGGGGAGGGAGGGTGAAGCGGCGCAGGGCACTGGCACTCGGACACAGACACAGCTTGCAGCAGGCAGCTCTGGGTGACCTGGGAAAAGGATCTGAGGGACCGAGGATGTGTGTGACACCATCAAACTCTGCCCCTGGAGAGGTCCCAAAGGAGCAGCGCAGGGCAGGACGTTCATCTTCACACTGGCTGGATCCTCCCCCACCTAAACCAGGTGCTTCCAGTCTCATCCCTCCTCTCTGACACAGAAACCATGTTCACTCGAGCGTTAAGAAGGCAAAAGTAGTAATGCCACAAAGACCACCAGCTTCAGTGTAGCACACAGGGCCTCCCCTCCCACCCACACCGGCAGCACCCGCTATCACAGGAAGCGAGGCAGGGACCGCCAGGGAGGAGCAGGGGCTGGCGGGAGCAATCCCACCCCCACTGCAGGTTTAATGCTGCATTTGAGGTTTAAGACACATTGCGAAACCTCACCGAGAGCAAACCCACAATGCTGGCGCCGGCACAGGTCCCCCAGCACTCGGCACACAGCCCGGGTGGCGCAGGGCGCAGGCTGCTGCCTCGGGTGGCGTGGGGGCTCAGTCCTTCCTTCCTTTCTTCCAGTGAAGACAAGGCACCGACATGTACGCCTTTAGCTCAATGTAACGACCACAGGGGAATTCGAAGCCAAAAGCAAAACAACTTCTCCAGCGCTGGCAGCTCCGAGGCTGATACGCCGCTTTCCCTGACAGCTCTTGCAATTTTGGTTAAACCACACAGCGCTGCCTTAGCATCTGGACGTGGCTCCTGCTGCCCAACCAGACCGCTCCCAGTCCAACTGGCCAACATCCAATGTTATTGTTATCAGCGGCTACTTGGGGACCCAGCTCCAGCGAGCATGGTGTTATCAGGTTCCTTCGGGGGGCAGGTGCTCACGCTGTAATCATTACTGCACGTGCCACGGGCCAAGCGGGCCTTGCAGAGCACCACGCTCTCATCGTTGGGGAGCATCATCCAGCAGCCCTTATCAGAACTGCTCTGGCTGAATATAGTCACATTATTTTGTACCAAAAATAGGTGTCTATTTTGCACCAATAAAGAAAAAAAAATCCTTTCAAAAGGCATATGACTGACCTAACTCCCTCCCAGGTACACTCAGGTTTGATCACAGCATCACTCGGTCCCTGCGGGCTTGGAGAAAGAGCTGGTGGACGTGCCTGCACACTGAGGACACCTCCCCATTTCCCAGGCTTCTCAGTACATGGAAATGCTCGTGTACTTGGAGAGGAGTCACCGAATGCACCGAGCAGAAGGGAAGAGGCCAGCTGTCTCCCACACCGCCCACCAGCTGCTGGCTCGTCCCACAAACCACACACCGTGCCAAGGCTCTGAAAATCACAAAATGAACCAAAACACTTTTGCTCACTTAAAAATCCAGCAGAGTCCGGAGCTGGTGATGGAGATGCAGGGAAGAGCAGAGCAGATACGCGCAGACAGGGAGGAAAGAGAAGGGGCGATCGGAAGCCCCCACCCACCCAAGCCCCCAGGGAAATGAAGCAACGCAGCTATTTACAGACACGCCGGTAACCATCACGTCACGACTAAACCAACAGCCTGTGTAAAGCTAACCATCTACCCACGGTTTTAAGGTAAAGTAGGAACATTAATTCCTGTAATTATAGCCCACTGAACTTGGGAGGGGGAAAGAAGGGAGCAATTTTTCAAGGGCCCTTTTTACAGACCCAATACACACCTCAGAGGACGGGGAAAAGTCGACACCAGAGCGATGCCATGGGAAGTGCCTGTGGCCCAAGATGCAAATGCCCAGGCTGGGGTCAGCCGAGCTCAGCCGGCGCTGGCTCCAGCCCCCTCCGGGCACCTCTCTTTGCCCTCAGCACCCCATCTCCCACCAGCACAGCAGACTGGGCAGCTCTGACTGATCCTCTTCCCTGCAGGGACCTCCATGCACTTGCCAAAAGTGCTCAACTGCACCAACTGCCCCGTTCTGCCCCGTTTCACTACGTTACGTAGCTCGGGGGCTTGCATACACTTTGCGGTACCACAGCACTGGTCTCCAATAACAGATCTCATCCGTACTCTTCTTTCCAGCTTGTTGAGTAACTAACTGTGCTATGGGGACAGCGAATGGAAAAGGTCAGATGCTCTGAAACGCAGACTTTGTGCTTGCACAGATGAGCACTGGGGCAGACAGCTTTTGCCTTGGACACCACAGTTGGATAAAAGCCACATTGAGAGCCATTCCCCAGACCAGATGGGCACTGTACCTTAAAAGAGAGAGATTTTCCTTTTTTGTTTCCTTGGTAGTAGATAAAAGAGTTCAAAAAACAGTATTTTTCAGCATACAGAGCCATAGGATAAATAATGAGCGCTAAACACAGCCACTAAAATTAAAGTTACATTGACAGCAGCAGAAACACAGCTTCCCACACAAGGTACCCTCAGCTCACGTGAAACCAAGCGATGCATTTTCAAAGCAGTCCGATGGACAGAAGTGTTTAAAACCCTCAGACAGCTTTGAAAATCCTCACCACAGCTTTTCTCCCTGGGAGGGGGAGGGAAGCAAACAAGCGGGATAGACTCCCAGGAGCCACGGCTCAGCCCGAGCAATTTACACACAGCTGCTCTGCTACTGCTGCTCTCCAGAACCCCATTCTCCTGGATTTAAGTTATGGCACACTTTGGAATTAAAGTGGTTTCAAAAAGCACTATAATTCTGCTCTGCAGTAACCCCTGTGACATAATCTTACCGTGGCAAATGGATTTCTTGCAGACCAAGAAAACGCCGCACCCGGACGGCACTGCCTCCTCCGTGCGCTGTTTGTTTTGGAGCATGAGCGGGCGCTGCTGGAAGGCTCAGAGAAGCTCTCTGGTGCAGCGCCACAGCACGGGCAGCAGCAGAGGAACCCAGCAAAAATAAGGGAATTTGGTCACTTTGCCACAGTCTGGATGCCTTTGCTGATGCTGCCAGCAGCAGTGCTCCATCCAGAGCTCGGTTTCATCTGGGAAGGGGGTGCTCATCCCACGGGGAACAGGCTGACACGTCAGTCAGACAACAGGCACGGCCACGCTGAGCCAGGCCTGCAGAAGGAGGGTAAGATCCTGCCCAGCCCACGGGGACGCCAGCTTATCCCCACTCACCGCCATGTACGGCCGGCACCCGGCATCGCGCGTTTTGGCAATGGAGTCCACAAGCTGTCCGCTAATGCCGAAGTCACAGAGTTTAATATTTCCATTTCTGTCCAGAAGAATATTGGAAGGTTTGATGTCTGCAAGGGAAAGAAATTTAAACCAGTAAGTCATGGCTGGAGGTTTCCATTTCAAGAACAGCAGCTGCGGAGAATCGACACCGGCAGTGCCGCACAGTGGCCATCGCCCCCTGGCGTGGGGTGGGCTTACGCAAGTGGATGCGCTCGCCACCGCTGCGGACCCTGACCAGGAACAAGAGGAGATGGAGGAGCCCAAAAGACGCCACGTGCCCAGAGGCGGAGGCGGACACCCAACAACCCTGAAATCGCACTTTTATGGAAAACCACAGACTGAAGCAGCAATGAAACAGCCACTGGGGACCCACTTATGCAAAACCTGTACTCACACTCGCAGTAGCACACATCCTAATTACACTCTGATGTGAAGCAAAGGCCACTTAAAATCCTTGCAAGTATTTTTGTAGGCGAGAAGAAAAGACATGAACTCACCTCTGTGAATGATTTTCAAGTTTTCTTTTAAGTGGTTTAGTGCTTTCACAGTCTAGGAAAGAGAAACAGAGGAAAAATAAGCAAATGTCATAATATTCCTGTGATCATTAAACTTTTGGAGCTCCAGGAACACGGGGAAAAACATTTAATATGTTGAGATATCAATCTGTAATATGCCATGTCATTAAACCATTTTTCTCACGGTCTTTCCCACAAACAGAAGGTGATACGAGAGAGGGCATGTGCTTCAGTAAACACATAAGCACTCGCTGTAACCCGGAAAGGTCCCACTCTAGGAGAGGGGAGCAAGAGGTGAAGTCAAGCAATTTCTGATGTTAATTGTCTTGAGCAGTAACTTATTTCAAGGCTATGCTGTACCTTTTCTGTAGGTAGCTAATGACTAATCCCCTTGCACTGCCTGAGCAGCAGCAGTGTGAGGAGCAGCAGAAGCGGCTGTTCTAATTTAGCTATTCACCATCAAACAGAAGAGACACTTTGGGAGCCTGATTTCACCAGATGTTCTTACAAAACCCTGAAAGTTCACTGTTTTAATTCATTTCACTTCTGCTGAAAAGATCATTGAAACCTACGGCCAAAAGACTGCCCTGAAGACGATAGTAAGAGGGTGTTTGTGTTGTGCTGCAGAGCGCCCTGAAGCTGTGCGACAGTTAAGTATGAAGTCTAGCACCAAGGAATGACTCCCAAAAGCCTGCTCCTTCAGGCTCACCCAACCATGTCCAAGCCTTTAGGTAATTAAAAGCCCTGGCAGGCTCTGGGGCAGCTGAAGTGCTGTCCCCTCCTAGCCACCCCCCTTGCTCCTCCAGTGCAGGTTTCTGCTCTGGCAGCAGAAGTTACTACGTCTCTCTGACCAACAAAGCACCAACTGGTTTTTAGGCAAGTCCACAGCGGAATGAGACTGGATAGCCTGCTCGGATCTGAACTTCAGCAAGAGAAAGCCTGTTGGACATAGTGACTGCTCGTTGATTTAAATCCCAGCCGACCCTGCCCAGAAGCTTCTGCCCCAACCCTCAAGTGGGTGAAGCAGAAGCTCACAGCTCTTCAGCCTGGGGTGAAAGAGCTCTAACGTGACATGAAGGGTGGTTGGGGGGAGCACACCCAGCTGTGAGCTGCAGCACATAACCCACCTGCACATGGTGGGGCTAACAGGGCAGCGCACACATAGACCTTCTGGACCTGGATGCCTTCAAGGTCTAAGATACTCAGGGCGTGTTCTCATACCAGAGTTATGAAATGCCATTCCTCATTTGTTTTCTAGAAAAGCTGGACAGAAATGAAACTCAGACCACAAAATCTAGTTTGAACCTGTCTTCCCTCCCTTCCCTCCCCCCCTTCCCACCCCCAATTACATATAACTCCAAGCAGACTACTCTGGAAGGACAGACCCTATCCAGCCATCTCTTGGCTATGTCTCAAGTCTTGCTTTGGACAGTAATGCATTTAGTTGGCTGGTGGCAAGATGATGCATCCCATGTGCTGCAGAATGGCCATCAGCTGCCTTTGATAGGATTTTCAGTCTTGGCTATAAACATCTAAATCCGTGACCGTGCATTAGTGATCAAGGCAGCCTGTCGGCTGTCAGAAGTGGCAGCAGGTCCAGGCAGGCTCAACATTTTATAAAGATGCCCCTAAGAAGAATGAAGATGGTTTTCTCCCAAGATCAGGTACTGAGCAGAATTTGCCCATATCCTTTCAAGACGTCACGGTTTGCAACTCGCTGAGCAGGTTCCCATCACTGGGAGAGCTCAGGACACCAGCTTACTGCAACGTTCCCGTGCTGAAGCCAATACAGAGGCAGTGTGCCCATCTCTCACCAACATGGCACGGCTTCAGCATTCACTCCCATTTTCCACTGTTACTTCTCAACACTGCTTCACTTCTGCAGCCTTCCATCTTCCAGCAGCCTTGCAGAACTAATTTGTTTGGCTCAGCCTTGACTTTCTATTGGGCCAGGACTTCCAGGTTAAGGCAAGAAAACATGAACCAGGTTCCCCACCTGTTGAAGACGCACTTGTACTTTTGGGAGCCTTTGCATAAGGCCACCAGATGCTTCTCTGGACTGGACTGGCACAGCATCCTCTGCAGAAATCTAATGGACTTGACAGATTTTTATGGGCAGCAGCAGGACAGAGGCTTTGGGATACCTTTCAACACATCTTCTTCCACAGCCCAAACCCAAAAGTTTGTTTTGCAGGGCCAAAACTTGCCCTTGTGTTTAGACAACAAAAGGCTCATTTTGGCACAGCCAAGGATAATTTTACTGGGCTCCTTAAAGGGAGACAGTGGGCTCTGTGTAGCAGGGCTGCACTCAGATACCCTGGGTGAGCTTCACTTCACCACCTAAGGCACCACGAGATGGGAACCCAGCTCCCGTACAGAGGCACCAACCTCTCCCTGCTGACTTGAGAGAGGGTAGGCCCTTGCTCTCTAATAGTTTGGGGGAGGGTTCACATGTCCTGGCTATAAATGCCCAATCGCTTTTACAAGCAAGGGAAGGGGAGACAGCTGATCTATTCAGGCACCTTCCTTGGGATCAGACAACCTGTGCCCAGCTTCAGCTGATGCCACCACCAGCAGACATGAAGCGACCCCTGAGGACGGGGCTGGTGCCTTTGCTGTCAGCACTGAAGTTAAGTCAGAGTATACTCAAGGATCATTAAAACCATGGTGCAGTTCTGCTACATGCAGATCAACCAGTTTTCTCACACGTGAGTGAGATCGATCTCAATTTTTCACATTAGCTTCAAAAACATGCACAAAAAAAGGTTAAATAAAATACTCACAGCTAAAGTGATTTTGCCTAAGATTTCTTCTGGAATAACATCATCTAATACACTATATACATATTTGTAAAACTTATCAAACGAGGTAGACATAAGCTCCATACAGATCCAACAGTCACCCTGGGAAGAGAAAAGAATCCGTGTTACTGTCAGGCTAAAACAAGAAACAAAAACCCAGAGAGCATAAAGACATTCTCTGAATCCAGCAACACACATGAATGGCAACATGCATGCAACAGGAAGGATGGAATTGATCTTGATTAATTTTAGCAATGGAAGACTCATCCCTATATGTACCTCTCCTCTACTCCATTCACCAGCAGAGGAATCTAGCTGGCCAGCTCAGACCTGACATTACATTTTAGATGCCTGAACCTAGATGAATCCAAGTCTCAAAAGCTACCTGGCTCTCTAGAAGGCTGAAGGCACAGTAAGACACGAGCACGCACAGTGAGAATTAAAAAAAAAAACACCACCTTGCAGTTTATGACAACCCTGCAGAGGACAGAGGACATTTCACACCACATTCAGAGATATCTTCTAAGCAAGAAAATTAAAAAAAAAAAAAATCAAGTCTATGGGGCGTTTTGTTCATTTGCATCTTGTAGTTATACTATTTAAATGCAGAAAATTGTAAAACTGACTAGGATCTGCATTAAACCAAGCTAAGCTTAGCTATCATAGAGGAATAACATCAAACTCTATCAAATTTTATCAAATTCTCTCCCGCGATCTGTAAATCGACCCACACACAGTGGATTCACTGTGGATGAGAAATGGATCCCCACAAAGACAACCTAGAAAAGGACTTCGTCTTCAGCTTTAGTGGGTATCTAACACATGGTGATGAACAGCTTAGCCATGGATTGATCTTAGTTATTCAAATTTTTTTTAACATTCTACCTCCAGAAGGCTTTGTGCGAGCTGTATCTGTAGACTGTCATGCACTTCAGGCAACTCTTCATTGCTAGATATACTAAAATACAAGAACTAGACCTGTCCTCACCAGAAACAAGGTACTCCCACCTGTCATTGACAGGCTGGTTTACATTGAGTTTTAAAACTGCATTAGCTGGCAAAAGCTACATGCAGAATGGAGTTGATGAGTTTGGTGGTCCCATCCTGGCTACAAACCACCTAAAACGCTTGTGCAGGAGCAGCAGCTCATGCGGGCAACGCTGCCCTGGGCTGCCTGGGTGGTTTGGAGCAGGGGATGCCCCCCTGGTTATGAATAAGCTGCACACTCTTGCGATACAGAAGCAACAAATAGAGGAGAAACTTCCCCAAGTAATTATCCTACAGAAGGTAATTTTTTTTTCCTCACCAAGCAAAACACACACCAACCGAACTCTACATTAATACATAGAAATGAAATTAGGAAAAAACCCCTAGGGTATGGATACGCTGGAGGTGTGGCAAAGCCCCACTCTCCCACCCTGCACACCCAAGTCACTTCTGTTTGAAGCACGTTCCCGGTGCTCGTGAGAGCCAGGAGCAATTCTCAAGTTATATTTAGACAATTAAAAAGCTTGAAGAGCCCCAGGTTTTAAAGCTAAAAAGGGCTTTTCTGACTACTCGGACTGATGTCCTGCAAAACACAAGCCAAGGTACTGCATCTGCCAAGACGCCTCTGGTCCAAGTGCTTGGTTCAGTGGGAACAGAAGTGCCCAGCAAAGGTGCTGTCAAACACCGCACGCTGGCATTGGCAGAGGCAGCGGTGCCACCCAGCTTGGTCTCGGGCTGCTCACAGATGTGCCAGGCTGTTCACAGCAATACAGACAGCAAACCCCCAGGAAGCGTCCCACCACATGCCACCAGCATTGCAGGTGCCGCGGCTTCAGTGACAGCAAACGCATCACTGCCTCCCGCCAATGGAGGGATGCTACCTCTGGGAGGAGAGACTCTTGTGTCTGAGAAGAGGGGATCAGCTTTCCTGGGGAAGGCTGAGCCACTGGTGGGCTGGCTGGGGAAGAAAATGGTGGGTTCAGAGCCATGGGTAGCCCCGTTTTACATGGCTCATTCAGCATCAGGCTTTTTACATCAGCACCAGGTCGAGCAGGAGCTAATGTCATCCCCCCAAGGGAAATGACTGCTACAAGCCTGAGCCCAGAAAACATGCATTTCACCCGAAACAATGCAGAAGGGACTGATTGAAAAGGTGCCTTGCTGGACATGGAAGCAAAGACACTATGGTGAAAGAGGCACGTGCAGTGCAACAGTCAGAGGACATGACTGGCGTTTCAGAGGACATGGAGAAAGGTGAGTTCAGGCTGATAGAGAACGAAAGATTGACCATGGATGAATTTGGCTGAGGACCTGCTAAGATTTAAACTGCAGAAATGACATTAAGCAACACATGCAGAAAATTTCCCTTTTCAGCACTGGCAACAAATGCAAAGTGCAGTTGAGGCACTTCCATGTCACTGAGAGTGGCTCATAGAAAGCAACGTGGATCCAGCGCTGGTGATGTGCATAAATCAAGTGAACCTGCACCCAGCCTAGACCCCTGCAAGCTACCTGTAGTGAAAGCAAACATGGACTTATTCTCCTGGCAGCAGGATCATTCAGAACATTGCTTCTGTTTTGACCAGCTTTATATTCGAAGTTGGTACTGAGCTATATTCCTGCGTTATTGTGCTGAGACTGCAGGGGACTAGATTTGTTCATAAATCATAGAATGGTTTAGGTTGGAAAGGACCTTGAAGATCATCAAGTTCCACCCCCCTGCCATAGGCAGGGACACCTCCCACTAGACCAGGTTGCCCAAGGGAGGGGGCCTCAACAACCTCTCTGGGCAACCTGTGCCAGTGCCTCACCACCCTTAAAGTGAAAAATTTCTTCCTAATGTTTAATCTAAACCTGCCCTCTTCCAGTTTGAAGCCATTCCCCCTCGTCCTATCACTACATGCCCTTGTAAAAAGTCCTTCCCCAGCATTCCTGGAGCCCCTTTAGGTACTGGAAGGCGACAATAAGATCTCCCCAGAGCCTTCTCTTCTCCAGGCTGAACAGCCCCAACTCTCTCATCCTTTCTTCATAGGAGAGGTGAAGAAGTTCAAGAATACCAGAATAGTACTGACCACCTACAGCCTTGTATTTATGTCCAACTGCACCAACACTGTGCACCAATACTTCAGTTGCCCAGGCTACAACCGCTGGTGTTCGTATGGCAGAAGGAAACTGAAGCAAAACAACAGGCAACCTTATTAGAGCTATTATTGTACCAAAAGGCTTCACAATATTCTTTGTGCATCTGCGGGGCTGGGATGTGTGTGTTACTGAACGCTCAAACAAGTCGAATAAACTGTTATCCAGTGTTAATTTCAGCATTAAAAAAAAACCCTGTACATGATCAGAAGCACCAGGAAAGACTTGGTTTACTTGGTGTCCTGAAGCACATGCCATATAGAAACCCTGGATGTGGGCATTTATTGATCTGGTAATGTAAAAGCATACCCAATCAACATGAATTCATGTCAGCAAGATCAATGAAAAACGACCTTTTGAATCATGAAGCTTCATTAAGGCTGGTGGCAAGATTCAAAACTTTACAGGTTCTTATCTCTTCCCGGGACTTGAAAGGACTTACCTATTGGCAAAGCTGATGAATTTTACTGAGAACAAAAAGGAAGACTGACAGGGACGACTGGGTACCGGTCACCCAGCCCCCTTTCTGATCAAATACAAAAAAGCGCTGATGTGCACGGGAAAGTTCTGCTTCATTGTGAATTGTGAGGACAGAGCAATCTTAATGAAAGTTTCTCTTTGATTTATGCTCTTAGGTCAGGTTGATTTCCAATTATAACATGACGAAAGAAGCATTTTAATTTTCTCTTCCCGTTAGAGCTATTCTTCCAAAGAATGTATTTTAGTCCTTATTGGGTATTAAATTACCAGATGCTAATGCACATCTTGTAGACATTCCAAAAAACGTCCAGGAACACTCTGCACATTTCATTCAAAATATCCGCTGCCCATCTCCAGGACATACACAAAAACTGCTTAACCAGCAACAAGCATGCTTCAACTTCTCAAGGCAGAGTCCGGAGTTCCCAGTCAACAACTGAACATGTCACAAAGATGCCACCCAGCTGGAAGACAGCTTGGCAGAAAAGGACCTGGGGGTTCCTTGTGGACACCAAGCTGACCATGAGCCAGCAATGAGCCCTTGCTGTGAAGGTGGCTAATGGTGCCCTGGGCTGCCTTAGGCAAAGCATTGCCAACAGATGAAGGGAGGTGATCCTTCCCCTTGACTCAGCACTGGTGAGGCCACACCCGGAGTGCTGTGTCCATTGCTGGGCTCACCAGTACAAGAGAGACGTGGTCATACTGGAGAAACTCCAGGCAAAGGGCTGCTAAGGTGACTGAGGGACTGGAGCATTTCTCCTATGAGGAAAGGCTGAAGGAGCCGGGAGTGTTCAGCCTGGAGAAGAGAAGGCCAGGGGGAATCTCATCAATGTGTGTAAATACCTGGGGGCGGAGTGCATAGAGGATGAAGGCACATTCTCTCCAGTGGTGCGCAGTGACAGGACCAGAGGCAATGGGCACAAACTAAAGCACAGGAAGTTCCCTCTGAACATGAGGAAACACTTTTTCACTGCAAAGGTGTACTGGTTTGGGCTGGGATAGAGTTAATTTTCTTCAGAGTAGCTAGTATGGGGCTATGTTTTGGATTTGTGCTGAAAACAGTGTTGATAACTCAGGGATGTCTGAGCTACTGCTGAGGAGCACTTATTCAGAGTCAAGGCCTTTCCTGCTCCTCACACCACCCCACCAGCGAGCAGGCTGGGCTGCACAAGACATTGGGAGGAGACTCAGCCGGGATAGCTGACCCCGACTGACCAAAGGGATATTCCATACCATATGCTGTCATGCTCAGCTCAAAGCTGAGGGGAGTTGGCCAGGGGGTGGGAGCTGCTGCTCAGGGACAGGCTGGGCATTGGTCCACAGGTGGTGAGCACCTGCATTGTGCATCACTTGTTTTGTATATTCTTTTACCATTATTATTATTTTCCCTTCCTCTTCTGTCCTACTAAACTGTCTTTATCTCAACCCATGGGGTTTACCTTTTCTCTGATACTCTCCCCCATCCTGCTGGGGCGGGGGGAGCAAGCGAACGGCAG